GGTTGTATTTACCTACTTTTGAGAACTGTTAAGGACCAGATGATTTTTATTATGTCCTGATTCATAAAACCATAGAACTCAAAGAGGGTATAATTTCTTTTTCACACGACTGTACAATAAAAAACCTTGGAAGGAAACAAAAAGACTAGAACACATCCCCTCCAGCAGCCAACACTCACATAAGCAGGGATAAACACCAGGCAATCAATCAGCAGAAAACAATATACTCTAATCAAGGAACCACCAAGGAGGAAACTACACCTCCACCAAAACTGGTAGGGCAAGGTACTATATTATAAACAGGCAGCAAATTCCACACTTACTCATACTGATGATGTTATCTAGTTGGGTAATGAAATGTCTGCAAGCAAACAGCCAAGCTCAGAGCCCGCCAATAACTCCACTATTAGAAACGTCTCAAATTTCAAAGCTGCAGTTCCTGTTCCATTTCTGAATTAAGTATCCCTTTTTTGTTTTTACGGAACTGGGTTGTTTGCTTAGCTTATCTCCAATTTGTTGGGAATTCATCAATGTCATTATTTTTAGCTAGCCTCCATGAAGGAAAAGCTGGCTATTCTAGAACATGTAAGACATGCAATTGAAATACATCTCAATATCCCCATTTGTTCACAGCTTTAGAAAACCAGTGGAATTGGGAGGTAAATGTCTGAATTTAATAATAAGCATATTTTGCATTAATTTTTGTTTCTGGAAAGTGATTGGGAATTGGATTGCTGGTATGGAGGAAAACACAGAATGAAGTATTAACTTCTATTTCTAAATTATAAGAGATGAGCAATGTTGTATAACTGGAAAGTTTCTGACAAACTCCTCGTTTTAGTCTTTTGGGGAGGTTGTAACTTTTTAATTATTAAAGCCACATTAAGCACTGGGTTATGACATGCAGTGTCCTGCTAAAAGCCTAGTCCAACACTGTAAATGTTAATTGAAGAACACATCAGTAACAATTGGTACATCCCTCTATTCTAGCAGATACAGTTGTTCTGAACTAAAGTCTACCTTTTCTGGAGTCTGAGCAGCAGAAGAATTTATCTGGGTCCAGAGGTCTGCCCTATCTGATTTGGGCTACAGGCCCATTTTCGTGATCTAAATTGTAGATCATACTTGAGGCTGTTTATGTAAATTTGATTTTCCTTTATCTTATTCCACTTATTCATATCTTGTGAGACTTCCTGAAGCCAATTATAAGTTCTACTAGAACAGAACAAGAACTGCTGTGGGCGCTTGACTGAGAGAAAATGGGAGAGTATTTTTACAACTTTACAATATATTATGAAGAATCTGGTGGCCAGTATTCCTAAAACAGTAGACTTTGCAAATCTCAGTTCTTATGTGAATAAATGAGGGAAGTCTCTGGTGTTTAAAGCCCACAGAAGAACTGACACTAAAATGTATGGCCAGGAAGCAGCATCTAGAGGCATTTGCTCTTCATTGGTGATCACTATGATTCACGCAACCAAAAGCCCAGTTTTAAGGATCCTCCAATTGTTCAATAAGATTTGGTGTGAGTGGGGATAGTGTAATATTCTCAGAAAAAAACTTGGGATGGGATGTCTTGTAGGATGCATTTCTCATTAAACTATTATTGGTTGCAGATCTATGTCAAATATATCTCTGATTTGCTGGCATGTAGTGGATCAGTAGTTCTCACTTTCTTTTCTTTTGTTTTCCGTAGCTTTCTGTATCTCCTGAGCCAAGGCAGAGCCATCTGTTTACTTATAACTTGTTCCTGAAGAAGACTCCATCCAGTGGAAATATGCAATATATAACAGTTTCACAAAAAAAGAGGTTTTTTACTACACAGAGTTTAAGGATGAAAATGTTTAGCAGCAATGTTTGCTAATGGAAAAGTTTGCCATTGTATCACTTTTTTTAAACAAATCTATTACTAATTTTAAAAAGAAGCGTCTCTGGGGAAAGAATGCTTCATCCATGTATTTTATTTTATAGATATGGGTACGGTTTGGTCATGATGCCACTAATACATAGATCATGAAGTGAACAAGCCAGAATTATGCTTTCAGAGATGGCAAATGTGCTGTGCTCACTCTTGCTATTTTGCTGACATTTTTTAAACCCTTCTAATTGCGCCCTGTATTAGAAACATGTGTTGTGCTGTTTGTGTGGTTGATCACTCTTCCTCTAAACCAGTGTTGTCCAAACTTGGCCACCTTAAGATGAGTAGACTTCAACTCCCAGAATTCTCCAGCCAGCATGGAGGGGCTGGGGAATGGAGCTGGCTGGGGA